CTAGAACTAGAGTTAACAGACAGTTCTTAGCTGCCATGTGGGTGCTTGGAATCAAACCTGGCTCCACTGCAAGAGCAACCACTACTCTTAACCACGAGCCATCTCTTCAGCTGTGTGTAGACTTTTTAAAAAAAATATTTTATTTATTATTTTTATTTTATGTGTATGAGTGTATTGCCTGCATGTATGTGAGTGGACCCGTCTCGTGCAGTGCCTGTGGAGGACAGAAGAGGGCTTCAGATTCCCCTGGAACTAGAGTTACAGATGGTTGCCAACTGCTATGTGGGTGCTGGGAACCAAACTGGGGTTCTCCGCAGGAGCAGGCAGTGAGTGCTCTTAACTACTAAGCCATCTTTAGCCCTGTAAATTAAAAAAAAATTCTTCTTACATTTTTAAAAATTTTGGTGTGTGTGTGTGTGTGTGTGCACATGTATACAACTTCAGGAGTGGGTTCTCTTTCACCATCTGGGTCCAGGAGATTGAACACTCAGGTCCTCATCAGGCTAGGCAGCAAGTGTCTTTACATGTTGAACCATCTCCCCAGTCCTGTGTAGATCTTAATATTACTGCCTTATGGCCATTAATTGATCATTTATGTACCAAGCATTCACAAATATTTCATTTACCCAGTCACATAGATTTTTGCTTTATTTTAATTAATTTATTTCAGAGACAGGCTCTCACTGTGTAACTCTGACTGGTTTAGAACTTGTAGCAATCCTCTTACCTCTGTCTCCCAAGTACTAGGACTAGAGGTATGTGCCACCATGCCAAGCTAACTCTATGGACTGGGGTCTACATTTTCCCTTTTCACAGATGAGCAGGCTGAGGCTGAAAGAAGGGAGGGTCTCCTGGCAGGATAGGCGGTGGGACTGAGGGGAGAAGCATCAGGTACATACAGAGCGCGTCCCATAAATGTGGTGGGTTGTGGGAGGTCCAGTCCACACCCTGGCTGTGAGACAGGGTCTCCCTGTAGCCTCAGCTGTCCTGGAACTCACTATGTAGACCAAGCTGGACTTGAACTCACAGAGATCCGCCTGCCTGTGCCTCCCGAGAGTGGGGATTAAAGGCCTGCGCCACCTTTGAAAGCAGCAGTCTCTAGGTGCCTGCAGCCTGAAGCAGGTTTTCTTTTTTGTTTGTTTGGGTCTTTTTTTTTTTTGGATACAGGGTCTCCCTGTACCCTCACTGTCCCAGAACTCTCGATGTAGACCAGGCTGGCCTCGAGCTCACAAAGATCCGCCTGCCTCTGCCTCCCAAGTGCTGGGATTAAAGGCGTGCGCCACCACGCCCGGCTAGAAACCTTTCTTACACAGCCCAAGCCCACCTGCCTAGGGGTGGCACCACCCTCAGCGGGCTGGGCTCTTCCGCATCAATCAACAATCAAGAAAATTCCCCACAGATATGGCCACAGGTCCATCTGATCTAGGTAGTCCCTCAGTTGGGATTCTTTCCCCAGGCATATATGACTGGGTTTGTGTGAAGTTGACAGACTCTAACAATGACATTGCTCTCATTGAGAACCTGAGTTGGCCAGGCATTGGATGGGGTGCTAAATGGAAAGAATGAACCAGAATGAACCAGACCAGGTCCCTTCTCAGGGGGTATGCCAACCAGCTGGGCCCCTGAGCACACCAGGCTCTATGTGGTTCTCTCTCTGTGTCTTTCCCCTCCCCCGTGTGTTTGTTGTCCTGAGAACTTTGGGCAGAATTAGATGGATACATGGTGTTCATTTATTTTATTTTTACATTTTTTTTGTGCTTTTGTCTGTGTGTATGTCTTGGGGGGGGGCATGTGAAGGTGTGTGTGTGTGTGTGTGTGTGTGTGTGTGTGTGTGTGTGTGTCAGAGGGTAACTTGAAGCATTCAGTTCTCTGTTTCCACTATGTGGTCCTGGGCATGAAACTCAGGTATGAAGCTTGGTGGCAAGCACCTTCATCTGCTGAACCACACTTTTTTTTTTTAATTTTATTTGTTTATTTAGTTAATTTTATGTGTATGAGTGTTATGCCTGCATATGTGTAAGTACACCCATGTTGAGCAGTGCCTGTGGAAGATAGAAGAGGGCGTCAGATCCCCTGGAACTGGAATATGGACAGTTGTTAGCTGCCATGTGGGTGCTGGGATTTGAACCCAGGTCTTCTGCAGGAATAGCCAGTACTCTTAACCCCTGAGCCATTTCCCAGCCCCCAGCCTCCTTAGTTTACATATGGGAAATCTGAGGTCAGGGAAGTGGCCTGGTGTTATGGGTGACTAATAGGTATGGCCTGGAAGCCAAGAGAACTTTGCCTCCAGGGGTATATAGGAGTGGTCCAGAGTCTCATTCATCTGCCTGTACACAGATCTAACGGAACGTTGGTCTAACTACTCATCACTACACCCAACTCCCAGATGCCTTCAAGCCCACACTTATATATACTCTTCTCATGGGAGGGGATAAATAACAAGCCAGAGAAGGAATTAAGCTGGGAATGTGAGCAAAGCAGTTCTTAAAATGCAGACCTAGGAAAACTGTGTCCCAATCCTCCAGGGGCCCTATTAAACTCTGATTGTCCAGCTGCCCCAACTTACATGATGAGGGCAGCCATGTAGCAGGGTTCTGCTCTTTAACAAGCTCCCCAGGGACTGGGATACCTCTAGACAGTGTGGGAACTTGTCTGTATTCTGTAAAATGTCAACACTTAACCCTAAGGAATAGCTGCTTTGGTTTCTGGAACTGATGACACTCTGGCAGCACATGTTGGGCACAGCAACCCTTCTCAAGACGTGGGGACCCTGCCAACATCATGCCACATTTGACAAGGCTCTTTCTACACAGAGCCAGTTGGGCAGCCCATTGGCTTGTAGACCAGAGCTCAGTGACTTGAGGAAAGCCAGGGTTCTTCTTTGCACCCCCACCCCCAGGCTGTTGAAGCAGCTTTTTTCATTAGTAATAGGCCTTGGTGGGGGATGGGGGGCGGCGACTGGCAGGGGGCTGAGGCAGTATGGGACCAGCTGGAGATTTGTGCCATCAGTTCTGTGACGCGCCTGGCTTTTCATTTTAATCATATCAGCATGATGGATGGCCAGAGGACCCAGATTATGTTATTGAGTTACTTCATTATGTTTTTGAATTTCCATTTGTTGGGAGACTTTTTCAGTTATTTGCATGTTTTTCTCCATAATGACAGTATGTAAGACGGCAGCTGGGAAGGAAGGGTGGATGTTGAGGAGTGTGTGTGTGTGTGTGTGTGTGTGTGTGTGTGTGTGAACGGGAACAGGTCCCTGGGGGTCAGCAATGAAGACAAAAGGAAAATTACTCCCAAGAGATATTTAAATGGAAACAGGGAAAGCAAGCTGAAAATAATAATAATAAAAGTGTAAGTGCCAGCCCAGCAAAGACCAGGCTTGCACTGTTCTGCTGAAGGATTTCCCTGGGTGTTCTAAGCAAACACACAGTGAGTAAATTGAGTAAAACAACGGTCAATGAAGTGTCTGGACCCGAAAGATGTTTCTATAGCTAGTCTCCTGCCCACAGAGGTGATCACAAGAAGTAATGTGAGATAGGGGGGCTAGGGGCTGGAGAGATGGCTAGGTGGTTAAGAGCACTGAAGATCAGGGTTCAATTCCCAGCACCCACGTGGTGGCTGACAACTGTTCGTAGCTCCAGTTCCAGGGGATCCGACCCCCTCTTCTGTCCTCTGAGGGCACTACATGACACAGGTGCACATATATATATGTACAGGCATAACACTCATACACAAATAAATAAAAATAGAGAGGCTGTAAATTAGTTGAATCCCTACACAGAGTGGGAGTAAGCATCAAATCTGGGTTTATTTATTATTATTATTATTATTATTATTATTATTTTGAGGCAGGGTCTATGTAGCTCTGGCTGATCTGGAATTCCCTATGTAGACCAGGCTGGCTTCCAATTCAGAGATTCACCTGCCTCTGCGTCCTCAGTGCCGGAACTACAGGTGTGCAACACCATGCAGAGCTGGGTTTATATTACAGCTGTGTGCCTTTTGGTGAATGAAGAAACACCTCTGGGCCTGTTTTACCAGCTATAGCTCAGGGCTGAAATCAGGGTTTGTCAAATACTAAATGATCTATCCATGGAGGTAATTCTATAATATTAATACGACCTTCAGCCCTTTTGGCTCCTCAGGACTTGAGTTGGTGCCTCTGCAGGACCCTGGAGCTGGACTTTTTTGCTTGCTTCCTCCCCCAGCTGTGTGAGCTCAGACAGGTTTCTTTACTTCTCTGAGCCTCATTAGGGTCCCCTGCAGAAAGACAAGCAGGAACTGCCACATGAGTATTCTGAGGATTTGGTGAGCGAGATAACCCACAGACACTTAGCCCAGTGCCTGGCTCTCTGCTGCAGTTTAGGAGAGTCAGCTGTGATGAAGAAGTCAAGGCGTTAATCCCAGCATTCGGGAAGCAGAGGCAAGTGGATCTCCTGTGAGATCGAGGCCAGCTTGGTCTACATAGTGAGTTCCAGGTCTGCTGGGGCTACAGGGAGACCTTGTCTCAAAAAGACCAAAAAAAAAATGAAGCCAGGGGAAGCGTCATTGGCTTGGGAGGTCCAGCCGGGCTACCCTTGAGCTCCGGGTGGGGGCGGGGCTTCTCTCCCTTCCCTGTGCCCGCCCCCAAGCCTGCGGATTCGCTTTCGGTTGGACTGGCTGTGAGTCGAGGCATAGAGACTCTGGACCGGCAGATGTCGCTGCCCTAGGGCCCCAGCTGTGCCGTGCACTTGGCCCCGAGAGGCAACTCCTACCCCCCCTTCCGGGCCTCCTAAAGAGAACTACCACGGAGGGGAACACGCACTGCGGTCAGGTGTGGAGGCCGCAGTCATCTTTAAGTGACGCCCACCTGAAATCGAAAGGAAGCCTTAGCTCAGGGTGCTGAGATCCCTGTCACGGAGGCGGGGCTCCGCCTCTCCAAGGCCCCGCCTCCGCCCAGGCCCCGCCTCTCCTTTACAGTGCGAGGTCCTGGTTGGACAGCTCAGAGGGTGGGCGTGGCCTACGGCGGCACTAGGACCGCGGGGCCGTGGCGGTGGTTACGGAGGCCGGGGGGCTGCCCGGGAGGGGCGTGGGGCCCCGGCCCGTGGCTCCGGGCGCTGGGGTCGGAATTCGAACTCAAGGCAGGAGCCGCAGCGGGTACCGGGGTGGGGGCGGGGAGAGGGCGGGATTTCCGCCGAGAGGGATCCGGCCGCACAGGGGGCGGGGCCTCTGGCGTGTGGGGCCCGGGGAACCTGGTTACCCGGAGTACCTGGTTACCCAGACCGCTTCCCCGCTTACCGGGAACACCCGCGCTTACCTGGAGTCCCCCACTTACCCGGAGTTCCCCCGCTTACCCAGACCTCCCCCCCCGCCTCCCCGTTTACCAGGAGTCCCCGGTTACCCAGAGCCCCCGCTTACCTGGAGCCCCCTCCGTGCCCCCCGCCCCAGGTGGCCGAAGGATGACCACGCTCACGCGCCAGGACCTCAACTTTGGCCAAGGTAGGGAGGCTGGACTTGCACATGGAGGTGGGGGGGTGTCCCTGCCCCAGGTCCAGCCCATCACACGGTGTCTCCTCCACAGTGGTGGCCGACGTGCTCTGCGAGTTCTTGGAGGTGGCGGTGCACCTGATCCTCTATGTGCGCGAGGTCTACCCGGTGGGCATCTTCCAGAAACGCAAGAAGTACAACGTGCCGGTGCAGGTGAGTCTCGGGGCCGAGCGGGGGCTCAGAGGCCGCTGGAGGGGGATTTTTAAGATCTTTTTTTTAGGGCCAGGTGTCGTGGTGCAGAGGGAGGCGGATCTCTGTAAAATGGAGGCCAGCCTGGTCTACATAGTGAGTTCCGAGGCAGCTGGGGCCACAGGGAGACCCTGTCTCAAAAACAAAAATCATTTTTTTTTAAAACCTGTAAGCCCCCTCATTGCTCAGCAGACCCTGATAGGCAGGCAGCCTCCCACCGCCTGAGCTCAGAAGGGTACCTACCCCTGGGTAGGGACCGCTGGATTAGAGTTGTCTAAGGTATGGTTTAAGACTCCTGAAGTAGGAACCTTGGTTGGGGAGAAGATTCCCTAGCACCCAGCACTTTCTCTCTTGCCTCACTTTCTCTAAATTCTAAAAAGTAGAGTTTTGGTAGTTGTTTTTTTTTTTTTTTTTTTTTTTTTTTTTGAGCCGGTCTCCCTGTAGCCACAACTAGCCTGGAACTTGGTATGTAGACTAGATTGGTCTCAGACTCACAGAGATCTGCCTGCCTCTGCCTCCTGAGTGCCAGGATTAAAGGTGTGCACCACCATCCCTGGCTGATTTAAATTTTGGGTGTATGTGCCTGTTTCTATGAGTCAGTGTTGGTTGTGTGGGTGCCCTTGGAGGCTGGAAGAGGACATCAGATCCCTCAGAGCTAGAGTTCCAGGTGATAGTGAGCCCGGGTACTGGTCCTCAGGATTGAGCAGCATGTAACCTAGACTGGGCCCGAACTTGTATTTATTATTTTTTTTCACGTGTATGAGTGTATTGCCTGCATGTAGGTGCAGTGCCCGAGGAAGTGTGTAGAGGGTGTCGGATCCCCTGGAAATGGAGTTACCGATGGTTGTTAGCTGCCCTGTGGGTGCTGGGAATCGAACCTGGGTCTTCTTCGAGAACAGCCAGTGCTTTTAACTGCTGAGCCATCTCTTCAGTCTGTTAATTAACTTTAAAAGGCTGAACAGTAAATACACTGCTCTGCCCTCAGTCCCTAGAAGTACATTCTCCATTGTAGGTACTCAGTCAACATTTGAACAGATGACTCTGAAGCCAGGCGTGGTGGCACATGCCTTTAGTCCCAGCACTCAGAAGGCAGAGGCAGGCAGATCTGAGTTCAAGGCCAGCCTGGTCTTACATAGTGAATTCTAGGCCAGCTGGGAGACCCTGTCTCAAAAACAAAACAAAAAAACCAAAAAAGGAGTGAATAGATGACTGAATTCTGGGAGGTGGTAGATGCTTACAGAATAGACGGGGAAAGTCAAAGAAGCACCCACTAAGCACCCTCCATGCACTAGGAGCTTACTTATCTCATTTTATCCTCATCTTTATGAGATCTTCACAGACGACATCATTAAAGCTCAGAGAAATTCAGTCATTTGCCCAAGACCACACAGCCCCTTAATGTCAAATGATAGTGCTGAGACCAGTGCTTATGTGAGTGGCTCTCTACTGGATAAATTCAGTTCTTAGCTCTGTGATAAGTTGGGTCTCTTGGGAAGAAAGCGCTGGGTAACTGCTGGCTTCTTTCCAAAGGCCAGCAGTTGTGTGTGGGGGGGGATTGGTGGTTCTTCCATCTGTGCCTTGGGCCTCAACAGCCCTGTGGGGTTGTGTACAGATGTCCTGCCATCCGGAGCTGAACCAGTATATTCAGGACACGTTGCACTGCGTCAAACCACTCCTGGAAAAGGTGAGGACCCAGCCACCCTTCCTCCAACCTGTTCCTCCACACTCCTGGACTGACTCTGAGATGGGGTGATGATCGGATTGTGGGGAGTCCCATGATTTTAACACTCCAGGAGCCTCACTCTGGAGGTGTGGCCCGAATTCTCTCTGGGTCTCCTGCACATGAGACAAACCATATAATATATATTTTGTGAGTTTATTAACTTACAAAGTAATGAGTACCCAGTGCCTAGCCCGGAGCCACCGCCACTCAGAGCCCGCTTTATCAGACCGTGCCACGCCCATAGCCCCCTTTGCTCACACCTCCGGGGCCAGCGATCTTGCTCCAGGTCCACAGGGAGTCAGTCAATTCTGTCTTTGAGTTGCTGCCCTGGCTGCGAGTTTCCTATACCATCACATTCTACCAGGGACTCCTGGCTTCCATCCCAAGATGGCTCCCAGCCCTCCTTCCTACTTCCCGCTCAAGTCAGGCCTCGCCCATTTGTAAAACAGAAGGCCACCCCCAGACTGCCCTGGAGGGTTCTGGGCTCTTCTCCCCACCATGCCCTATCCCATCCCTCCTCGTTCTGTCTGGGCTGGGCTTTCTAGGTTTTTTTCTTCTGTCTTGGCCTGGTCTGAGCCTTCCTGGGGGACTTCCATGGGAACCAGGCATCTTCGCCTCCTGGTCTGAACCATTCATGCTTCAGAGCATCTTGCAAGCTGTACTTCTCAAACCTGCTTGCTGAGGAGGGCTCTTGAGTACCCTGCTCCTCGTCTTCTGGGGCCAGTGTCACAGCTCTGGAGTGGGGGTTCCCTGTGCTTGCAGAACGATGTGGAAAAAGTGGTTGTGGTGATTTTGGATAAGGAACACCGGCCAGTGGAGAAGTTTGTCTTCGAGATCACTCAGCCACCCTTACTGTCCATCAGGTGAGCTGTCGCCCATCCTTGACTGTAGTCTCTCTCAGGGACCCCTCTGCCCATCCCCACACTGGCTTGGTAAAGAGAAATGGGAGGACTGGCTATCAGCAGCTGAACCACTCTGGCTACATACCTCTGTGAATGTGACACGGTCACCCTCCTGTCACACCTGGAATATTTTGGCAGTGGTGAATGTTAGTCCCAGCCTTACTTACTGTGCAGATAGGGAAACCAAGGTCCAGAAAGGTGACCTGTGCCCCCCACCCTGAGTGTTACCCAGTAATTGCAGAGCCCAAGACATACACAGACTGACTGTCTGGACTTCTCAGTCAAGTGCCCAGTCTACAGGTAGCTGGAAGTTGATTGTGGTGACTGTGGTGCCCGCAGTAACTGCCCAGCCACTTGCTTCCTGTGCTGAGGTCAGGGCATCAGAGTCAGGCACAGCCCATGCTCTGGCTGTGTGGCCTCAGAAAAGCCCTTTCACCTCCTGGCTTGGGGTCCTGGGGTACACAGAAGCTTGAGGTGTGTCCCCTGGCTAGCTGAACATTAGAATCACCTAAGGAGGCCCTCTGCACCCTCTCCCCGTGTGCCTGGGGTGGGGCTGGCCTGACCCTTTCAGGCACTAGAGGCTTCGCCCAAACTGCTTTCAAAGTGGACTGTGCTGGTGGAGGGCAGCATGGAACTGGATAGGAGTCCCTTTTCCATTCCCAGCTCAGACTCCCTGCTGTCCCATGTGGAGCAGCTGCTACGAGCCTTCATCCTGAAGATCAGTGTGTGTGATGCCGTCCTGGACCACAACCCACCAGGTGTGCTGCCCCTTGATTTGCTGTCTTCTCGGACCCTATTTGGCCATACTGAGCTGCCTCTCTTCCTCCCTGCCCTTCAGCACCCCAAGAGTCCACCTCCTCCAGGAACCTCCGATTGACTCTACTTGGCTTCAGTCTCTTGTTGACTGTGCCTGTTTTTGTACTTGGCTACACTTTACATCCTGGGGTGGTGCCGCCCAGCCTTGGCCTTCACCAAGCTCTCCTCCTGCAGGCTGTACCTTCACAGTCCTGGTTCACACGAGAGAAGCTGCCACTCGAAACATGGAGAAGATCCAGGTCATCAAGGTGAGAGGCATGTGTGTGCACACGTGAATCTAAGGCATGTGTATGTATGTGTGCGTGTGTATGTATGCAGGGAGGAAGCTGCTGGTGGAAGGCACAGTTCCAGGGACAAGGTACCACCTGTGGCTGGTACCCTTTGCTGCTTAAGGCAGCAGTACCTCGCACCCAGGTGGTTCTCCTGTGTGTTAACACATTGGAGCGTGCCTGGGTGAGAGAGGACCCCAGATGGAGCCAGATGTTAGGCAGCTGGTTCACCCTGGCTCTTCTGAAGTGGGATTCCCTAGGGAGGTGCCCTTACCCTCTGGTTTAAGAATCCTTTTAGGGCCACCTGGGGCCTGCAGGTCAGTTGGGTTCCTAGTCTCCCCCATGAATGTGTGTAGCCAGCAGCTTCTAGGAATTCGGGGACCCAGCCCTGGAGAAGAGGGGTAGAGTGAGGGCAGGCCAGACTATGGCGCCTTCCAACCCTCACCTGGCCCCTTGCCTAGGACTTCCCTTGGATCCTGGCGGACGAGCAGGATGTCCACATGCATGATCCCCGGCTGATACCTCTAAAAACCATGACGTCGGACATTTTAAAGGTGAGCTATGAGACAGAGGAAGCTTTATTTAGGAGATGCATGGAGGTGGTGCCCAGAGGAGAGACTGAGGGGCTTCTCTACCCCTGCCCCCACCTCTGGGCCTTCCCAGTGGGTACCCTGAAGCCCATGACCGAGGCTGCTTCTTTCTTTCCTAGATGCAGCTCTATGTGGAAGAGAGAGCTCATAAAAGCAGCTGAGGGTGTGCCTGTGCCTGCTGCCTAATGCCCAGCTGTCAGATTCTGGGGCCACAGCCCAGGGCAGTGCTGCAGGGCCCCAACTCCAAGTGCTCTTATTGCCTTGACACGTGGCTGCCTCTCGGGTCGGGCTGCTTAGCCCCCCTTGCCTCTTGAGGCAGCCTCTCCAGGAGGGCAGGGAGGGATGCTGGGACAGACTGCCAGTTTTCAGCAGCCTTCTGGGGCTCAGCCTGCCGACACCATCCATCTCAAATACTGTGCTGTGAGTTGTCAATAAAAGTGCCCAGAGGGCTGACCGTACTGTCATTAACTGGAGTGGAGGGGCAGGTGCAGCCAAGTTGCCCTGGGAGTGGCTGCTTCTCCATCCGATTCAGGAACCCCATCTGTAAACACCAGGCTGGCTTTACTGAAAACATTTATTACAACAAAATGTCAGATCTGTATGACTGTAAATTAGCAGGAGTTGGTAGGTCTGCCCAAGGTTGTACTGGGACAGGTGCTGGTACGGCTCAGCCCTTGCCTGGAAGTTCTCTTGAGCAGACCCCAGCAGGGGAGGACGGATTGCTCTCAGGTGATGTCTGATATCAGGACTTGTGGAAGGGCCCCTGGGTGTCTTCCTCTTGTCCCTGCATCGGCAGGGCGCTGGCAGAGGCGGGCTTCTTGGCTGTCCTGTGGCTGATGATGATGCTGCTGTTGGTGACACGGGGCCCATACCAGCCTGCCCAGAACTGGGTGTCCTTGCCACCGTGTTGAAAGAGGATGTGGCGAACCCCTGGAGGGTAGTTGGAGAAGGTGTGGGAGACCTGGGGAGAGGAGAGGAAGTGATCACTGAGAGAATAGAGAGGTGGGGTGAGCCCTCCACTACAGGAAACCATCCCTGGTCCCTGGTTTGCTGCCAGTCTAGCTCTGGGAGGAGTGAGTGGTGGGCAAGCAGGCAGGGCCTCACCTCTGTCCATGCAGCATCGTTCCACTGTTCAATGGTCACAGGTGGAGGCTCAAAGGAGGCCAAGACAATGTAGTCAGCTGAGGCTAGGTGTACCCGGAGGTGGTAGGTACAGCCACAGTCTGCTCTGGCGGCAAACCTGGGGAGGGTGGGGCAGGAGGCCACTGAAGGCCTGTTCTGGGGACAGCTTCTTTCTGCTACACCCCTCTAGCCATTAATGTCTAGAAGGCTTGGCACTCCCAATACCCCTGTGCTCCTGGGAATTATCTATTCACATGTGGCCTCAGTTTTGCCACCTGAGAAAGGGAAAAAGCAAAAGGCTTTCTAAAAAAGACCTGGTCTGCCTGTGCCCCGTCACCCATATGTTTCAGGGGATGGCAGCTGGTGTGACAGGCTAGCCCACAGCTCACCCCTGTTCATCTCAGCCACCCTGTAAGCCTTGCCCCTGTACCCTCACAGCGGTGGCCCCAGACTCTTATGCGCATAGTTAGGTGCACAGAGGGGGAACACAAGCATGTTGTGGGCAGGTGCTTGGCTTGGAGCTTAGTGGTAGAGTGAAGGCTTATCATGAGAGAGGCCCTGGGCTCCATTCTAACTACCAAAGAAATAAATACGAAAGAGATAGGAATAATCAGAGGAAAGGGTTGCAGAGACACTGCATAAGAAGTGTGAGTTTCCACCAAGTCCAGGGAGGGCTGTGACGACTCCTCAGCAAGCCTCAGTTTCCCATCTACAAACATGGCTGCTATATTGCACAGTCAGAGAAGAGGGAACTTGGGGTGGGGGGAGAGTCCTGGAGGGGCCCCTGCAACTCTAGGGGCAGCCCTTACCTAAGGACACTGTGGTGTCTCTAATCCCGAGGGTGGGAACACAGGCACAGGCCACTCACCAGTCCTTAACCACGATATCAGGCCGGAATGTGTCCAACAGCTCCTCCCAGTAGCCCTCAGCTTTGAGGTCCACCATCTGGGACTTGAGGCACATGCTGGGGGCAGAGGACAAGGCTTGCATGGCAAGTATTCTAGGCATGACTTTCCCTTGCCAGGCTGGGGCAGCCCCTATGGGCTCAGGCAGTAGCTCAAGGAACCCAGGTAACCCCAGGACAGGCCCTGGCTGGAGCTCCCCAGGCTGACCCGAGGAAACGCATGAGGGAGTTAGAACCACTTTTTCCTGGGTGGTATTTGATCCCAGCCCTATGGGACACCAGGGAGTGTGGCTGTGACTCTGGCTCCTGGATCAGGGCTCCCTTAGACACCTGACTCAACTGCTCAGTGGCCTTCTGGTCACTTGAAACCCATCTCTCCAACTGCCGGGCACCCACCATCCAAGTTTATTGCTCCTGGAAGCCACAGACTGCATGTCCCCCTCCCTAAGCTTCCAGGATCAGAACCGCCCAGCCCTCCTACCCCTACCCTGCTTTGCAGAGCGGTGGGCAAAAGTCTCCTGACTCTCTATGCTCAGCATAGCCTGCTGGGTTCCAGCTCTTACTCAAAGGAGGTGACAAAGTACTTCTTGACTTTGGGATCAGGAAAGTTTGTGCCATGGTCCCCAGGGAGACTCTCCACCTTCCATCCATTTCCCTGGCTGGAGTCGATCCGCCACCATCTCATGTCCTCTGGGAAAAAAAGTGCGGGTGAGCCCCTGTAGCTGCTGTTATTTGCAGTGCTGGGATGGAACCCACAGCTGTTTATTCCAACACTAGCCCCAGCCCCAGCCACATGTGTGTACATCTAAACTCTAAGCCCCCATCTGCTCCTGGGAGACTTCAAGGGTGGTTAGATTGGTGGTTAGGGTTTGCTTGGGCTCAAAGGGTTAGTCAACTTGTTTCTCTTGGAATGTGCTGTGCACCCCACCAGTCTAAGGGCACCTCCTCTGTGTCTTGCTGTCCTTCATATCACACTTAACCTGGGACTCCCTCCTATTCTGCCCAAACAATATGATCAAAAATTCTGGAGCAAACCTCACTTCCATTTGGCTTGGGGCCCCCACACCCACATTTCAGTCCTTAGAGATGGATGGGAGTTCTTCCCAACATGGCCCCACACCGGATTCCCCACGTCCTGGAGGGGAGAGACTCTGGCTAACTATGTAAACCCAGATTTGTGGGGCTGATGGTATGCACTGTTCCAAAGTGACCAGATGTCCCCTGCCTGGGTGGGTGCAGTAAGGGTGCATGGGTGCCTCTGGGCTGGTGACTGAAGGTCCCGTGGTCATGGAGGGAGAGGGTTCAGGTTTAGGGGTTCCTCCCTGCAGACTGAGCAGAGTTGACCTGGGAAAGAACTAGTGCTACCAAGGCAGCCCAGAACGGTCCCCAGGTAGCTCTGCCCTTCTATTCACTGTTTCCCCAGAAGCCACGCTGTTCCTGTGCGTTCTGGGGGTTCCCCAACAGAAAGCCAAAGGGATAAGAGAATTTCAGGAGCTAGGCCAGCACAAGCTAAGGCCTGCAGATCTGAGCACGTCTGGACTGACCATGGCTACACACAAGGCCTTGTAAAAGGCAAAGTGTAGGGTGACTCCCTGAGGTTCCCTGAGCTGTGCTAGTGGCCTGGTTGGGAGGCTCTGTTGGGGCCTGAGCATCCCAGCAGCAGGACAGTCCTCTGAGGCTGGTGGTTGTAGATCTGAGCAAGTCACCCTTAAGGGCCTGAAGTGCCCTATATAGCAAAAGCAGCTGCTCCCATGGTTTGCCTACCTCCCAGGAGCTCAGTGAGGACAGAGAAAGGACAGCAGACATGTGAAGTGCACAGACAGGGCCTCTTAATGACCACTGTACCCTGCTAGGAGCTAGAAGAGTGGTATGTAGGAGATGCTGAATGAGTAAGGGAAAAGCCAGCAAATATGAGAGAGTGTTATAGACCCGAAGCAGGAACTCTGACCATGAGGGCAGCGTTCTCAATTCTCTGTCCCTCTGTATCGCAGGGTATCAGGAGGTTAAGCCATCAGTCACATCTGTACAGCTCCAGAGAGTGCCTGGATGGACACTGGGTAGCCTAGACTGAAGTACAGAGGGGAGGGGGCTCTGCAGTGTGCCTATCCACGGCTGCTGAGCACCTGCTGTGTAAGGGCCCCAACTCGACGCTGTGCAGAGTGGCCCACAGGATCCATTAGGCCCTGGACTTTGAAATATGTAGCGGGGGAAAAAAAGATATATAAGGCCACTCTAGGTTCTAAGACGTGGTCTAGGGCCATGGTGACTGACCAGAGACCCTGTCTTTAGATGAGGGGGTTAGGCCCAGTTCGGTAGTGCACGGCTTTAATCCCAGCACTTGGGAGGCAGAGGCAGGTGGATTTCTGTGAGATCCAGGCTAGCCTGGTCTACATAGCAAGTTCCAGGCCAGATGGGGCTACAGGGAGACATCTCAAAAAGACAAAAACAAACAAAACAAAAACCAAATAAGCATGGGAGCTGGTTAAAAGCACACGGTTAAGAGCACCAGTTGCTCTGGCAGAGGACCAGCGTTCGCTTCCCAGCACCTACATGGTGGCTGACAACTGTAACTCCAGTTCCAGAGGAATTTGATGCCCTCTTCTGACCTCTGTGGGCATTGCACAACATGGGTGCACTTACATGCATGAAGCAATACATTCATATGCATTAAAAAAAATTCTTAGAGGAAGGGGTCAACCCAGGGGCTGGTAAGATGGTTCGGTAGGTAGAGGCACTTGCTGCCAAGCCTATTGACATGAATTTGAGTCCTGGAACCCATGGAAGGGGAGAACAGATTTCTGCAAGCTGTGCTCTGAACTCCACACATAGGTCCTGGGTTCAAGAAGGAAGGACCAGCTTCCAGGGTCGTCTCCACCCAGCACCAGCCCCACCCAGCCCACCTTCGCCACATGGGTTACGCAGGAGGTTCCTGCGGAGTCTGCACAGGAAGTAGAAGATCTTCCAGTCTGCCACGGGCTGGTCCCAGTCCTTGGTGATGAAGCCCTCTCGAAGGCTCTTGCGCTTCCAGAGGGTCACCACATCGATGAGGTCTCGCCAGAGGCTGCAGACCGGGCGGCAGTTAAGCAGCAGCTCTTGGGCTGGCACGTGGGTGAACAGCTCCAGGAGGATGTTCTCGGGCAGCTCATTGATGCTGACCATGGTGGCGGCAGTGGGGTGGGGGAGCAAGCTCCCAGGCCTGTCGGGGGGAACAGTGGCAGTGAGCCCCGAGTAATCCCCAAGGCCTGACCCCTCTGCTCCCTGTGGGGCCTGGCACATGCTAGTCAGGTATTCTACCACTGAGCTAAAACTCAGCAAGGAAGCCCTGGTTGGGGGGGTGGTCCACTGGGGTAGGGACAAGAGCATTCCGAGTAGAGCAATAAAAAGAGTAGGGTGTGGTGGCTTGGGCTGATACTCTTCAGTACTTAGGAGGCTAAGGCAGGAGGATAGCCTGGGCTACATAGTAAGTTCCAGGTCAGGTGAGCCTGGGCTACATAGTGAGAACTGTCTCACAAAATCAAACAAAACCACTGCCACAACATGAAAGCTTTTGAAACAAATTCTTTGCTGTGCTGGGAAGGAAACCAGGGCCTCATGTCTGCAACTGTCCTACCACTGAGCTACATCCCCAGCCCCTTAACTGAAGTCCTTAATGACAGAGCTGGGTGCATTGGTCCGTGCCTGTGGAATTGCTTGAGCCCAGAAGTTCCAGGCCTGTTTGGGCAGCAAAGCAAAAGAGAAACTCATTTCAAAAAAGGAACATTTTTAAAGTGCCTTCCCCCACTGGAAAACAGCTGCTTAGGATCTGGGTGTGGTGGCATAAGCCTGGGATCCCAACACTTGGGAGGAAAAGCAGTTAGGAAGTTCAAAGCTAGCCCTGGCTACATTAAAAGCTGTCTCTACACCCCTGCCCCTGATGCAATTGCTTCGATTTGGAGCCAGTTGGCCAGGTGAGCCGGTGAGACTCTGCCAAGCCACTCCGTTGTCTGCCAGCTGTGTGTTGGTGGCGGTCTCAAGCTAGGAACTCAGTTGTAACACATTTTGCTTCATCCTCAACCTCACTTCACTCCCTCACTTTGGAAGCCCAATGAGATGCTACTCAGAGGAACTGCACAGCTGGGGCTGGGTTGCCTTAAGTGTGAGTACTGAGAGCACTGGAAAGACCTGCTCAGGGTGTGTTGGGGGGTGGGGGAGGGGCTGGCACTCAGACGGGTTTATCTGTTTAAGCTTGGGGGAGAATGTTCTAAACAGAAACTTGTTTCTGAGTTTCCAGAGGCTTGACCAGAAAAGGGCACTTGTCACAGAACACAAGGGGGTGGACCCCACACTGGCCCTTGTCCTGGGGGAGTGCTGACCATGTCAGGGAAGAGGCAGACCACCAGGAACTGAGCCCTGTTTAAATGCTTTGCTGGGGGATGGTGGTTGAGTACACACAGTGCGCCCCGGTCTTTCAACTATAAACAGTTCTGAAAATGAGACATCGGTGGCAGCTCCTGTAATTCCAGCGACTAGCAGAGACAAGCAAGAAGATAAAAGATGGGGCCCAGCCTGGTCAACCTGGTGAGACTCTGTCTCAAAATAAAAAGTAAACAAGGTTGGGGGATGTGGCTCATTTGGCAGAGTTCTGGCCTGGCAGGCATGAAGTCTCTGGGTTCCAGCCCCTGCGTGGAATAAACCGGGTGTGGAGGTGCACACCTGTAATCCCAGCGTTTGGGGGGAGGGGGTGTTGCTGGGGCTGTAACTCGGTGGTAGTGCCTGCCTCGCACGCGGGAGGCCCTGGGTTCCATCCCCAGAACCAACCAACCAAAATGCAAGAGAACTATGTCCATTAAAAAATTCTGGCAACTTCTAAACGCAGCCTAGACCTACCAGTAAGTCCCGGGCCGGTTCAGCCGGGCCCTGGTGGCACCCCACGCCGTTCAGGGTGCGCCCGGGTGGAACGGTCCCCGCGCACCCCGGCCGCCTCCAGCCCCCACCCGGCGGGCCGGTCACGCGCGCGACCCTCCCCCGCCCCGCGGCCCTTTGCACGGAGCCCAGCCGGTGTCGCCAGCGTCCCCGTCCTCGGGTAGCAGGCCCGGTGTCCGGGGATGTAGCGTCCGG